GTTTTTGGGTTTGGGGTTAAGGCCAGATTTAGGGGTGCAAAGTAAGGAGATGAAGAAAGAGAGCTCTAGTTTATTTAAGGCTTAATTTAATTTTTAGTCTATTAACTATTATCTTAATTTCATTTTAGTCTAGACAGTTTATTTTCTTTCTTGGTTTATAAACTTTGGAGAATATTTTAAAATAGTCTACTATACAAAATTTTGTTAGATTGAACAAAAAGAGTAGTCTTTTAAGTTTTGAAAAAGTGACACTATAGTTCTAATAAAATATGATAACTCAAGAAATATTTTATAAAAATGGATTAGTTAAAATTTGTAATAAACTGGGTTAATTTAACAAATCATCTATTAACTTTCATATTCTTTTCAATTTCATCTATTATCTTTGAATTTTTTTAATTTTGTTTATTATTTTTTACATTTATTTCAATTTCATCTAAGTCGTTATTTTTAACGGAAATATCCGTTATCTTTAACGAAAATGTCCGTTATCTGTTATCTTTAACGGAAATCTTTTTAGAATAAGAAAATATTTAGTCATTTAACTATATTTCTTTTAATCTTTTGGTCCTTAAATTTATATTCACAGCAAAAATAGTTTTTATTCTTATTGTGCTAAAGTTTGCTAAATGTGTTCTTCAAAAAACTACTTTACAAAGCAGACTGTATGTAATCCATCCTGTAAAATTATTTAAATGCCCTTAATTTTATTTTTATATTATTTTTTAGGAAAATTTTAAATAATTTTACATGACAGACGGTATACAATCTACCCTACAGTTTGTCTTGTAAAACAGATTTACCTTTAAAATTTCTTGTTCTAAATTTATTAAATTTCTCTATTTGAATTAAGCTAGTTGCTTAAGTTTATTACAAGTTCTAATTAATCTATCTTTATAAAATATTTCTTGAGTCATCATATTTTATGAGAATTATAATGTCACTTTTCAGAAGTTAAAGAACTACTCTTTACATTAAATCTAATAAAATTTTGTACAATAGATTATTTTGAAATATTCTCCAAAGTTTATAAACCATTTAAAAAGAAAATAAACTTTCTAGATTAAAATGAAATTAAGCTAATAGTTAATAGACTAAAAATTGAATTAATCCTAATAAACTTGACCAACTAGCTCAATACAAACAAAAAAAACATAGTAAGTTTAGAACGAGAATTTTAAAAATAAATTTGTTTTACAAGACAAGTTGTAGGGCAGATTGTATGCGATCTATTCTATAAAATTATTTAAATTTTTTTGAAAAAATAATATAAAATTAAAATTAGGGGCATTTATATAATTTTACAAGATTGACTGTATATAGTCTGCTCTATAAAATAATTTTTTGAAGAACATATTTAGTAAAATAAGAATAAAAACTATTTTTGTGGTGAATATAAATTTAAGGACCAAAAAATAAAAAAAATATAGTTAAAGGATTAAATAACTTTCTTATTCTAAGAAGATTTTCCTTAAGAATAACGGATATTTTGGTTAAAGATAACCAATTAAATAAAATTGAAATAAATGTGAAAGATAATTATATAATTAAAAAAATTTTAAAATAATAAATGAAACTAAAAAAATATATAAAAATTACTAAATAATTTATTAAATTACCTCGCTTATTTAATATATATACTCTTATAGGACTACAATTGAGTAGAGCAAAGCTGAGTAGGCTCGATTCTGACTTTATTTTATGAAGCTCGGCTCAAGCTTTACCGAGCATACCAA